CCCCCCCCCCCCCCCCCTCTCTCTCTCTCTCTCTCTCTCTCTCTCTCTCTCTCTCTCTGTGTGGGGGGGGAGGTTGCGAGGGGGTCTGCCTCTTCTTCCCTGGTGGTTGTCCTCATGTCAGCCTTTCTCCTCTTGACTTATGCTTCGCCCGAATCAGAGCCTGTCGTCCGCTTTTGTCCTCTTCTTGTCTACCTTCTAGCCTTCAGCTTCTCCCCATCCTCCTTTCTTGCTTTTGGCTATGTCGCTTTTCTCCTTTGGCAACAAATAGGCCGGTTACGCTTTGCGCATGCTAGCCCCAGAAGTTGTTGGAAACAGTTCAATGCTTATCATACGGTCTGATCGGGGGTGGGGGCGGGGCCGCCCTTCTGCCCTCAGATGAACGTTTCCAGCGATAGATGAAAAACGCAAGAACGCCACCAGCAACAACTAGACCAACAGCACCGCCGAGGGCTATGCCCACCTGGACCCCCGTTTTATGAATGGGTTCACTTCCTCCACCACCACGTGGAGATGATGCCGCTGTCGATGGCCATGCCGATGATAATGATGATGATGATGAGGAGGAGGAGGAGGAGGAAGAAGAGACTAAAGAACCAGCTGCCGGTGATGATGATTGTGGTGCTGCTGGTGATTGTGGCTCAGAGATGCAGCTTCCGCAACACTTGCTATGATCATTCGATTTCTCAGTCCTCGAACATATTACCATTTCTGGAGTCGTTGGGATAGTTGAACTTCGGGAACTGTTACAGGAGATGTCGGGAAATCCGTCATAACATTCGGTTGCTACCGTGCAATTTGGACGGTATAGTGTGTCCTGCCACATGAGCATTATTGAACCCGAGTTAGTTGCCGAGAAACTCAGGCTCGAAGAGCAGAAAGAGTAAAATTTTGACAAAAGTTAGGCTGTTGAGTATTGAATCTATCGATTTGTTCAGTGATTGCTTTTTGCTGCGCAATTATAGCAGAAAGCAAACTTGGATCGATTGATTTGCACGACTCGTGTTCATATTTCAGAATTTGAGAAATCTGAATTTGATCTAAATAACCTTTGACAGCCGCATAAATAGCGACAACTGTACCAATGGTAGCAAGAGCAACCAGCTCATATGTCAGAAACCAAAATAGATATTATTAACGGTGGACAATCAGAAGCATCGACAGTCCTCCCCCCCCCCCCCCCCCCCCCCCCCCCAAAAAAAAAAAAGATGCATAGACAGTACAACATATGCAAGTCTGGAAACATAAACCACCAGTCCATCCGCTGATCCCGGACCACACAAAAATGCATTTTTCCGAGCCTGAAATCCGCAGTGCAGGGTGTTGTTCTTTTCCGGGGCGTTGGCGCTCTCCCGCCGAACTTTGATCGGGCCTGCGCACTGTAGATTTTAGCCCAGTACTCAACACACGAGCAGAATCTACATACTGGTGGTTAAAACCATATGTACCATGCCCACGTGCCCCACAAACACTGACATTATTATTCGAATCTGGAAACTTAAACCACCAGTCCATCCATCCGAGGCTAAATCGATCAACCAGAAAATGGATTTCGCTGAGACTGAAATCTACAGTGCAGGTCGTTGATCGTTTCAGGCCGTTGGCCCGTTCCCGCCGCACCTTCACCAGGCCTGCGCACTGTAGATTATGGCCCAGTGCTCTCACGTGAGCAGAATGTACAGTGCTGGTTTAAAGTTTAAACCATCTGTACCATACCCACCTTCCCCACAGACACAGGTAACCAAGGGTTGGTGAAAGGTTTGGCCTACTATAGGTGGGTGGTCCCAGGGAGGGGACAAAGACAGTTTGAGGCCCCAACGTAAACCGCAATTACTACTTTGGCCGTAGGCGAAAAATAGAGCCCCGGGATTGAGGCTTTGTCGGCGGCTGCTCCATCTATTGATGGGAAGCATCACCTGCTGGAGACCGGGTCCAGCGTACCTTTTGGAAAAACCATGAGATAAGTTGAGAGGGAACACAGGTGCTGGAAACCAGGTCCCGCGTCCCATCACTGTCTATCCTGCATGCCTAGAAATGAGGCCCAAGGTCAGCGCCCAGCCAGGGCCTCTGGGGGACACCAGCGGTCCCTGTCTGCTCCCCGGCCCGCCAGGCCCTGGCTATGCTAACTGCACTAGCTGTACTACCTGCTGGTTTGTTCTACCTATGCTGAGAACCGGGCTCAGCGTCCCTCTTGGATCACCAGCACGGGGATAGAGACCTTGCACAAGGGCATGAAAAAAAAAAAAAAAAAAAGACAGAAAAAAGGCGAAAATAGAGCCGCGACATTTCCACTTGAATGAATTTGGACAGGAGCCACCAAGTCCGTTCGGCCCAGCTCATCGGGGCTCTTTTACGCCCGCGACTTTCTGAAGTACTGGTGATTTAACCAAATCTTTTGTTCTCGTCATCTTCAATAGAAAGATCGGAACACGATCATCGACGTAGAGGGCATCATGATGATGCTTTGTATCAAATTGTGTGGGGATTTTTTTTTTTTTGCAAAGATGTTATGCTCATCAAACTAAGGGCTGATCCCCCTGGCTGGCGAAACCCCTTCCCTTTCCACCAGGATATTTTGCGGGATACCACAGTAGCAGCAAGCATGTAGGACGTCTACAGTGGCAGTGTTTTTATACTGCCACCAACAGCAAGAATTGGGTGCGCTTCCAGGGTGCCCTTTCCGCATCCGATGAAGTTGGGAATCGGGTGGTTGGGGGGGAGGGGCATAACATCTACAGTGGCAGTGTGAAAACACTGGCACCAGCTGTGAGCATTGGGTGCCCTTCTTGCATCGGGCTGTCGGCTTAAGCTTGCGGGATACCACAGCAGCAGCAAGCCAGTAGGACATCTACAGTGGCAGTGTTTTCATACGTCCACCAACAGCAAGCATTGGGTGCCCTTTCATGGGGCCCTTTCCACGTCGGCTGAAGTTGGGAATTGGGGGGAGAGACGGAGGGTGTCTGCCCCCCCCTGCGTACAAGTGTAATCGTGGGGGGGGGGGCGCGAAGCGGTTGGGGTGTAACATCTACAGTGGAAGTGTGAAAACACTGCCACCAACTGCAAGCATCGGGTGCCCTTCTTGCACTGGGCTGTCGGCTGAAGTTGGGAGTAGGAGAGGGGGGGGGGTGGACCCCCTTCGTCAGAAAAGCTACAGAAATCAGAGTACTAAATTATAAAAGAAAAGAAGGAAAAAAAAAAAAAAAAACCTCCACTTGCATCTCACATCTGATTCCCTGTCATGGTTTCCGGTTGCTGTGCTTCCCTTACGTGTGCTTTCCTGATGAGGAAAGCACTAAGTCTTCCCCGTGACTTCCGTTGCAGAAGCAGAACAAAGAGGAGGCGGTAGGATCGTGTCTGTGCCATGGGCACCTGGATTAGCGGGAGATCCCCGTACTGGGCCAATGAGCCGACTGGCAGCCACACGGTGGGATCCAGCACCAACTCTAGCACTGATGGGACACATACGCTGTCCACTGCCAAGCCAGATCGGATTCCCACATCAGCTTGGGCATCCAGGGGAGGACAAGATATGGCATTGGGAAAAGGAGTCACAAACGAACTGGCGGTCCAAAACCAGGAGCACTGGGACACTTCCTCCGAAGTTCGCGGCTGGAAAGGTGGAGGCCACACTTTCGATACATTTTTGCGTGCTTGTGGCCGTTTTTTTTTTCCCTTTTTGCCTACCTGTTGTTGCCGGTTTGATACATTCTGGAATCTGGATGGGATTTTTTTATTCAGGAGTAAATTGCCCATCCAAATGAAAGTACCTATGGTACCAGTTCATATTTGGTTACCTGAAGCTCATGTAGAAGCACCCACCACTGGATCTGTTATCTTAGCGGGAATCCTCTTAAAATTGGGAACTTATGGTTTTTTAAGATTTTCAATACTAATGTTTCCAGAGTGGTGGTTTAAGGCTCTACTGGCCCCGACTCCTTTCCTGGATCGTGCTGGCATACACGGGACTTCAGGCCAAGAAGCTATTGATCGGATTCCTCCCAATCGGTTCATATCTTGTTCCTTAGGCATTCCACGAATCACAGAGCCTGCACTGACAAGTGAGAGTCCACACAGATATGGCGGAAAGGTCACTCAAGTGGATGATAAGAGCATGCTGACGTGGCACTGCATTGCATTGTGGGTGGTGCCGAGGCAACGACCAGTCGTCAAAATGCACATCGGGTCAAGTGGTGAGAAACCTGTGGTTGAGGGCGGCTATCCGAAGGTACGTTGTTCCTGACGTTATCTTCCCTCCTCATTTCTACTCAAGAGTCCTCTCTCAATTCAGGGGTCGTGAGGGCGCTCTACTTTGAGAGATGAAATTTTTCCTGGTGGCGGATCTGGTGGGAGAGGGCGGTACCTCTGAAGGGCCCTGGATGAAGCACGGGTCACGCTCACCATGCCAACCCATGGGAGTAGAGAATGCATGCTTTGCTGCATTGTCCTTTGAGCTCTTGCTGCACATAGAGGTGGTGTTGTGCTGGCCAGCCCTATGGAGGATCGTCGGGTACCGGATCATCCAAGTCGCGCTGTACGCGAGTATAAATAGAGTACAGTCCCGACTGGCCAGTCTTTCACTTACGTGGGCACAGGGGTGGGCCGATGTACACACCATCAGACACCGCTGCTTGCAGATGCAGCCAGAACGTCGTTAGTGACAAAGACAATCAAGAGGGATACAGGGGGAAGGGGGGATTTCAGTTCACACTCATCTGTAATTATTGCACATTTCCATTCTGCATGTATTTGCGCTTTTTTTTTTTTTTTAATTAGTTTTTTCTCAGCCTTTTGGCTAAGATAAAGTGTAGTATCTGTTCTGATCAGTTTAATATCTGATCCGTGACCCATCGGGTCGAAAAAAAAAAAAAAAAAAACCCTTAAAAAAGAAGTTAACCGACTGCTGACTCCTGACAGACAGAAATTATAGTGTAGTACTGCAGCAGTCAACCATTTCCAGTTCTATGCTTTGCTGATTGTCTCAGAACTAGTCAAAGTGGAGATAGCCTCAGATAGGATCATTTGCAGAGTCTTTGTATTTGATGTTGTCACTAGCTGAAGTGTTCTCTGAGTTTCAGACCAAAATCATTTTTTGTCTCGGTCAGACACCATCTGTGGTAGGTCCCAGCGAGGACAGTAGTGCAGACTGTGATGTGCTATAGCTGATGAGAGGGAGAGGTCGTGAGGAGGAGAGAGCTGATGAGGGGATTGTGAGTTGGCTAGGAGCTTGTAGGGGACCTGTAGTGTGTCAGGTTCTGCCACCTGGCGGCGAGAGGCAGCTGTGAGCAGAAAGCAGTGTTGAGCATGGGCGTAGGGCAAGGGGAGTTGCTGGAGAAGCGGTGCAGGCAGAGGCATTAGGAACAGCAGCTGCAGACTCAATGGCATCTGCAGCATCAGCCTCCAGTCAGACTCGGCCAACGCAAAGCACCCCGGCTGTGTCACAGTCAGTGACACCAGTTGTAGGTACGAGTACGGGTTCATCCTCAAGTCAGACGGCTGGATCGCAGTTCGGCCAGCCACCTCGGCTCACTAGAGAGGATTTAGAGATTTAAGAGGCCGCAAATATCCGCCTTTGGCTAGAAGCCGAACTCAGAGATGCAGCCGACAGAGAGAGGAGAGCTCGGAATAGAAAAGCTAGACAGGAGAACAGAGAGGCAGACCGGGCTACTATAGAGGGACTAGGTGAGTCTGTCTTGGATTACAAAACGAAAGCCCTGAAAGCCGGAGGCTGGGCATGTACGAGTACATGGCTGTACAGGACAGCCGGAGGGTGACATACAGTTCACTTTGGACCAGATACTTGATAGCCCTTCATGGTTA